ATATATATATATATTATCAAATAGCATATTTTATAAATATTTAAAAATCATCTCAAAAGATTTTGTTTTGATTAAACATTTGGTTAATTAGTTTAGTTATATAATAATTTACGTTCTTGAAATAATTAGTTTATAATTAAGTCAATTATTTTATTTCGTTAAAATTAAGAAGCTCATTAATTAATTTATATTAATTCGCCTTATTTAATCACTAGCCGAATTAACTAAACAAATTCAATTTGGCTAGATTGTTAACTCATTTCTCTAACCCATTTTATTGCAATTCTAGCCATTTATTCCCTCACCCTAACTCAATTTGCAAGACCAAGTCTTTGGCCTTTCCCTCAAATCAATTCAGCCCACCAATCACTCCAGCCCATTCTACTCCACAACCAGCGACAATATAATAATACATATGCATACCAAAACATTACCCATCAGCATACAACAACAATATCACCGACCAACTCACTTTTAAACCTCCCAAACCCGGCCCATTCTCAATCCCTCAAGTGACCCAGAACTTGTCTCCAATGTTCACAACGTCAAAACACACAGCGAGGCCACGCCGTCTTGATGATTGCTCAAAAACGACATCAACAACAACTTCAAACGACAACAAGTTAAGCAACGACGTCCACTTTTCACCAACGGTCTCAAACGGAGATAGACGGAAAGCAGTACACTGCGTTCCTGTCCTCGCAGTACTGTTCCAGCCGAGATTTTTGGCAAAAGTAGCTGCTGGAGCAGCCAGCAGAATTGTACTCGCGGCGTTAGGATGGAGCCACGTCGCGCCCAAGGACGAGTCTTTGATCCCAAGCGTCGATTTCCCCTTCCCTCTTTCGGAATGGGGCAAAAATCGCAAAAAAAGTATGTTTACCTTAATTGGTGAAAGATCTTTGGATTTGGAATTTCAATTTGGGCCTTTGTCCTCACCTGAAATCAGGTCTCCCCTCCATTTTTCGGAACCCTATTTCCTTGCTATATAATGGCCCTTATTCAGGAAAATGAGGAGGATTTTTTTTTTTGAGGTTGGGAAATTTTGGGTTTAGAGAAGATTTATTGGAAAGAAAGGTTGAAAGGAAATATAGAACCGACTAGCTTTAGAAAAGGAAAATACACTACAAATCTCCATCTATACTGATATATACAAGTGTCAGGATAGTTCGTCGACACCAAATAGACGGGAAATCCAGATTTTACTTAGTCTGTCTTCTCGTCCGCTTCTGCTTGCTTCGTCGGATTTCTCAAAGTTTTGGTTTCGGTGGTGGAAACTCGTCGTCGCTATTAAACTCATTCGTCTCAGTCGCTGCTTCAAAAGAGGTATAAATCACTCACCTCCCTTCGCATTTCGGAATTAAAAAATGTTATGAACTGTTAAGTCGAATGGTGAAGCAACATTTTCAGAATCAGTTTCCCGATTGACGCAGCTTAATCTTGTTCTGAGAACTGGCTGAATTTCTACCCTGTTTCGTTTGAGTTGTTTGATGTCCTCCTGATTTCGAATTTGAATACACTTGCCACATATTCGCATTTTCCTCACTGGTCACTCGTAGCTTGAGTTGTCTTCCCTCTTATTCGCGATTCCTTGTTTTAGACCTTATTTGTCTCAGCATAATATCGTAGTATTATCTATTCTTATATGACTTGACTGATTGTTTACATCCCATTTTGAATATTGGTTGTTTCATCCCTTCGAAGTTGGTCATTTTAGTCAAGCTTGGCATGCTCCTTTAAATTCGTATTCTCCAGTTATTATGCGTAGAATCTTCTATGGCTTGTCTCCTTGATGCCTACTTCCCGTATTCTCCAGTTATTATGTGTAGAATCTTCTATGGCTTGTCTCCTTGATGCCTACTTCTCTCAAAAATTAAGTTAGTGTTGGTAGACTTTCTAGTACGTTGATGTAAATGCCATGGTTTATTTGAAGTTTTGTTGGTGATGCTACTCTTTTAGAAGAGTTAGTTTAATCAAATGAAATATTGATCTGAGTAGGTCTCTAACATATTACATGCTAAAACAAAAATGTCTTTGTATTTGATATATATTCGTTTTAAATGACTTTGTATACTAGTTTGTTATCGAAACTCTTCCTGAGCGTAGCTTCAATTACTAGCAGAATTTTCGCTCTATTCAGTCTTAATTAGCTGCTTAATTCATGTCTTATAGTATGTGTCTTCCTCGGAAAAAAAAAGGGTTTTTTCTCTAGTATATAATATTCATAAGTGCACTCTGGCTCAACAGACTGTAAATAAATGTATACATTGGGGAATGGGTGAATTCATTTTCTCAAATTGGTTGCTGATCTAATCACCTATGTTGTTTATTTTATTATTATTGTATGGTGCCAATTTGATATCACTGTATGTTGGTCCATTTCGTTCCTAATGACAATTTATCTACATGCTTAAGTTATTTGATTGGTTTCAGTTATTTGGAAGCATGTTAGATGTCAGTAATATTTCCTTTCATTTTGTTATCCATGTGTTTAATTCCGCCTTAAGCTTTTATCTCTTCTGTGTTACGTGTTAAAGATCAGTTGTTACCAAAGTATTACTTGTTGCCAATTATTTTCACTCTAATTTTTATCTTCTTTTCTTGCATGTGAAATTTATCCGAGCTCACTATGAGCTCATCCCTCCCTTCGCATTTCGGAGAGCCATAAAGGCTTAATTTATCCTCTTCTGAGTCAGCCAGTGTTAAGAATCGACGAACAGGTCTCGGAGTTGAAAAAATACGGAGCATATCTGGAAAGTTGAAGGGATGGGACCAAAAAGCCCATCTTTTATTTTTTAGAAGTTATATTTTGTCAATTTGGGCCTAAGCCCTTGTCGTCTTACTCTTATTATTATTATTTTATTAGAAGGATAGGACAGGTATAAATGACTCAAATGGGCCAAAAGTCCAAAACGAAAATGGGCCCAAGCATTGGTCCAGGCGGACTGAAAAACCAAACTTGGGCCCAAACTTCCTTTCCTTATCTATTCAATTGCTACTATGTGTTTTATTGTTAAAATTAATCTTAAGATTCTAAAAGTTCAACTCCCCAAAAGAAAGCCGTTTTTGAATTGAAATTAAAACCAACTCATTCTTTAATTGACCTTAATATCTATTATATTTCACTTAAGTAAATGCTCTTATAATACTTTCCTTTCCCTTAAAAAATGATTTCAAGTTTCAAACTCTTTATTTTCGTAACTTAGTCGCGTATACTCAAGTTAATCTACTTTAGCCAAATAAGTTAATCGTCGGATAACCGCATTAGCGGATATTCTAGGTGCTTTAAAAACCTTCTTAGAATATTAATAGGAACCCCGAACCCCCTTTAAAATTTTCACTAGATTCCTGTTTTAATCTATTGGAAATAGTTTTTTCTTGATTTTTCTCAAAAAATTAAGTGGCGACTCTAAACCAGTCTAAAATATATTTTTCTTAATAAAACAATACATGCCTCAGTTATTAATGCATCAATATCAGTTTCAATATATATTTTCTAAATAAAACGGAATGGCGACTTCCGCTGGGGATTTGAATGGTTCTAACCTTAAGATTAACTTATTTGGCTATTTGTTTTAAATTGCTTACTTGTTTTAATTCTTGTAAATTATAAATTGTGACATTCATGGCACCCGATTCCGCCAAACGGCAAATAGATTGCATTAGGAAAAAAGGCGGTTACGTGGCTTACCACGGCTGTCCTTCAGAAAAAACACAAGTCGAATTTTTTGGAAGTGATAAACGAATAGTTGGCTTGTGGTCATCCAATGTCGTTTATTAGACTTCACCCCATTGTTTGTCCGACTCGGGTAACCGTCATTTCTAAACCAATTCTAGTCAACCTAGAGTAGAGCGAAACCAAATCCAAATCTAAGCATTAGCCTAAGACGGCTTAATACCCAAGGCGTATTAAGTCCATGGCTCGGCCACTCATAATCGTCAAGCTAGGATTCGAGCCAACGCCTTAAATCCTTCAGACATAGCCAAAGTCCACTTCCATGACCTTCCAACTCCTGAATTTGACTCACCATCACCTGACTTTAATGCCTTGAGCAAATTCCCATCACATCTTCAGCCATCGTGGGATGCTTCTATGCTTCTTCGCGAGCCCATTGCTTCTTTCTTACGCAATATCTCATCAAAAGCAAAACGAGTCATTGTTGTTCATGATCCTTTAATGTCTTATAATGCTCAGGATGTTTCTTCTTTGCCCAATGTTGAATCCTATGTATTTAACTGCATTTCAGTCTTCACTTTATTCCATTGGCTAAGCTTATCTGGTGGAATATCTATACAACATGAAGAAAATTTGCTTTAAAAGGTACCCTCCCTTGAAGGAATTATGGCAGATAAAGCCAGGGACTTTTCGACTTATCAGCATCAGTATATGGATATTAGATCAGGTGATATCCATAACACAAGCAAAGTAATTGAAGGCAAGTTACTTGATTTGTTGGAACAAGCAGAAACTAATCTGAACAAGAAGAAATGGGCAATTGGACCTGTTCTGCCTACTAAACTCGATCATATCTCAAATAGGAACGATATATGTTTGGAGTGGCTGAACAAACAACCTCCGAGATGAGTTGTTTTTATATCGTTTGGAACAACAATTTCCTTTTCTGATAGGGAAATCAAGGAGCTCGCGATGGGGTTAGAGCAGAGTAAACAGAGGTTCATATGGGTGTTGAGAGACGCCGATAGAGGAGATATCTTTGAAGGGGAAGCTAGAAAAGTTGAGTTGCCTGAAGGATTTGAGGAAAGAGTAAAAGAGGTCAGGTTAGTGGTAAGAGAATGGGCACCACAACCAGAAATCTTGGCTCATTCGTCTACAGGCGGGTTCATGAGTCATTGTGGATGGAATTCTTGCATAGAGAGTATAACTATGGGAGAGCCTATTGCTGCTTGGCCTATGCATTCTGATCAACCAATAAATGGTTTCTTCGTGACAGAAATACTGAAAACAGGCCTGCTTATTAGAGAATGGGAGAAACGCGAGGAGCTAGTAAGTGCATCCACTATTGAGAATGTCGTGAGGAAGTTGATGGCATCAGAAGAAGGTGACCTGATTAGAAAAAGAGCAGAAGAATTGGGAGAAGCTGTAAGGCAGTCCACAGAGAAAGGGGGAGCTTCTTGAATAGAGTTGGATTCTTTCATCGCGCATATCACAAGATAGACTTGATTTTCAAGTATTTCTGTTACTTCTCACTTCAAGAAACTGCATCAGATGTTGTATTTGTATATGTGCATATGACTTTCATGTACCTTCATCCAAACCATTTGAGAACAATCATCACTCATAGTCACAAAGTACTAAGTATCCTTCTCTAAGAAATCAAAAATTAGATGTCTTCAATTGTATCATTGTCATTAGAACTAATATCATGTTGAGAAAGAAGAGACCATCATAATTACATTGAAATAGCTATAGATTTACAGCACTATACGAACGTTAAGAAGCACGGTCCTCTCTTCCAATTATAATAAGATGTAAATAGGAGGTATAGCAACCCTCAATGAGCTTTAACAGTCATCTGGACATGCGTCACAAGGACAAATACAGTTGGGATGATCGCGTTCACAGGTATTTAATTAGCAATTTTCTTGGTTTTCATGTGTCGTTTTTCATCACTCATTGTGAGCCAGAAGATGGTAACTGTGATTCATCCCATTCCCATGGCAGCACAGCTGCAAAAGAACTCACCCCCATCGTACAGAAACACTTCTGTTTCTCATCTTCCCAAGCTAGTGCCTTGTTAATCAAACCGCCAATGATAACTGAGCGTAAAAAGCCATTGACTTCCATTTCTACCGATGATGATCCAGGATTAAATGACATCATTGAAGAAGCTAGAGTAGAATACCTGGAATCTTAAGTCATTGTAGTTCTTGCTCTTTCTGCGATAACTGATTGTGACAAAGCACTTCCAGATTGCTTTTCCATGGCCTTATTTATCATCAGTCACATTACTGCAGCCTCTAGCAGTATATGTTAAAGCAACAACATCATAACTCCGATAATAAGCTATCAAATGGTGCTTAATAAGGCACTATTCTACCGATTTTCCCTCGGTATAATTCTTGGGTATTGTCATCAAGCCCAAACCCACTGTGAGCTTAATGACCAATATATATTCTCGACCACAGCAAATTTAAATTCTACAAACAGCATATGGTGGTGAGAGTCAGAAATCTAGTTGTGTTCTACTGAGTGCAGTTAAGACAACAGGTCACAACTCACAAGTTTCTAATGTGAAAGATTGGCTAAAATATTGTTGAAAAGTACTTGTTGTAATTGGTAAAAATCATGTCTATATAGTTGCGTTAACAAGAAGATACAACATTAACAAATGCTTGAACGGAAATCAACTTTTTTATGTAGGGCAATCCCTACTTGTGCTGGCAGATAATAGAATATGATGCCAATGAGAGAAAAGATCCAATAGTTTTTGGAGGAGAAAAAATTACTATAAAATTGCAATTGACTTTACAGGTTTTCGTCTAGTTTTAGACTACACATGAGACATTACACAACACTTTAAGATGATCGGATTGAGTTCGTAGAAACAGACTTTCCTCTCTAGAGTTATACTGTACCACCTAGAGACATTTGTTTAGGAAAGCTTCTTAAGAAGTGAATGAATGTAAATGAGACAATTTCTTCACTATTACAACTGGCTAGACTTAATTATGCGGTCAATAAAGGACGGTACAAGCTCCTTACCACAAAACCAGCTGAGGCAAGTAAATCTTTAAACCTCCTAGTTGACGTGTGTTTGATGTTTTCTAGCCATGAAACAAGCCCCAATATCCCAAACAGGAGTCTTAGTTGGATGAATCGGAGGCAAATCTTGAATCTAAAGAGCAAAACTCCTATGGCAGAATCAGATTTAGAGTCAGCCTTCAATGAAAGTCCATATAGTGCATACTCAGCATATGCTAGTAACCTGACTCTCAAGGGAGCACCCAATTTGTTCGTCAGGGATCTTAGGAGCCCATCGGTCCGCAATACTGTGAGAAAATCGGTAGGCAGAGATTCCATGAAGGAAGATATATCCTCCATTTTAAGAGACTTCAATTCCTGCTCAAGGTTCTTCCTTTCTTCAACAGACATTCCTTCCCCGAGTGCGGACTTACTGTCAATAGTTCTTCCTGTAAATATGACAGGGAAGTATCTTGAGTACTTTCCAACACCAAAATATTCTCCTATCTCCTGGATTTTGGCTGAGTCCTTAACTACCAAACCCTCCCAAAGCTCGCAATACTTCAATCTGAAATCCTCATTCAACTGTTTACAAATCCCGAAATCCAACAACACTAACGAAAATCCATTCTTCCCTTCAGGAGAAACCAATATATTACCAGGATGTAAATCCCCATGAAGAAAACCATGAACAAAAATCATTTCTGCAAATACTTCTGCCAAACTTTTCGCAACCTTGACTTCACTAATTCCTCTTTCCTTCAGAAACTCCAAATCATCAACTTTACGACCTCTGAAAACTCCATCGTCATAACCTGCCTTGCCGTAAAATCCCAAAACACATTTGGAACCCTAACCATAGAATTATCCTTAAAATTTTCCCTAATCCTCTCCAAATTTTTAGCCTCTGCAATAAAATCAAGCTCAGAAGCAATAGATTTTTCAAATTCCGTTACAAGCCATTGAAACCTATATCCAGCGAAGATCCATCCAACTGATTTCGACAACAAAGACATAGTTACTAGATCAAATTTCATTTGATACTCCAATCCAGGATACTGCACCTTCACCGCCACTTCCTGACGGTCTTTTACTAAAACAGCATGGTGTACTTGAGCAATAGATGCAGCAGCAACCGGAACCTCATCGAAGGAGAAAAAAAACTCCGATAAACAACTTAAACCTAAATTACTAACTAACACATGTTTAATCGATTCAAACTGAAAAGGAATAGCATGATCCTGTAATGAAGAAAGTGTTGTTGAGTATTCTTTTGGTACTTGCCTAATGGCAGCAACAAACTGACCTGCTTTGATGTAAATACCTTTATTTGCTTCCCACATCGTTAAAATTCTCTTTGCTGATCGTAGATGTAGTTCGGAGAGAGTAAGGCGATAGTCGTAGGTGTGAGGATTGAGTCTGTATAGTGAGAACTTGTAGTCGATGACAGTGGAAGTGATGGTGAAGAGAGCTCGGGAGGAGCTAACGACGCTGTTGATGAATTTATGTTATGGTACAGCACAATTTTACTGATGGGATGGCTTTGGGAAGTGCATTCCTCCTTCATGGATCAGTTGGTGGGTGGTCAAGGACTTTGTTTCTTCTCGCACATGAGCTCCCTCAAGATTGAACCATGTTGTGTTATGCACTGGTCAGTATTAATGGATCAATATTCTGCTGTTCTTATTGCATTTGATTGAACCATGTTGTGTTATGCTATGTAGACATTGACATTGGGACAGGATTCTGGTCATTCGTCATTAATTAAATAATATTATTGAACAACATATTCTGTGAATTAATTTGAAAGTTGAAAAGACTTTTATCACTTAATTAGGAAATCTGAGAGGACATGTGAAAAATGAAAAGACTATATATAACCAGTTATGTATGAAATTTAAAGGGTTACGTCACTATAAATAGGCTTATATCCTCCATTTTATGGAATTCAAATGGGCACATCAGAATCATGACAGAAATACACTCATATTGATCATCTTTTGGATTGTCACAAAGAGGAAGTTTTCCAGCCTGGGTGGAATCCAAAGAATGAAATCATCTTATTAGCTTCTTGTTGCCTTGGTAGTAGAATCACAGTTTGGGATCGATGAAGAACAAACTCCAGATTGAGTAACATGCAAAATTTCAGATTTGTCATGACACGCACCCATGTGAAGATTGGGTCGCCGTTAGTGTTGCGGAGGATAATATATAGTATTACAAATCTAGCATATGGCTTAAAACATCTACCACTTTGAAGATGACCTGCCTGGTTGTAAATTATTAGCAAAATTAAAATGAAACTTTTTGTGAGTCGCTATGAGTTGTAAACTTTTTTGTTATTGGCCTTGATTGCCAAATAGCAATTAGCTTTAGAAAATAAAGGTTGTTCATTTTTGTTAAAGTTTGTTCATCGCTTATATATATGCAAATTATTTTTAAATTTATACCAAACAAATATAATTTTAATGACATATAAAATAGAAATATGTATAACCCTCACCTTGATTGTTAAAGCCAATTATAGATATTAAAATAAGGCATCGAGGCAAACTAAAAAGTACAACAAGGTATTTAAGGCTTTTCATGCGACAAAAACATTTTCTTCAATGACCTAACTGAATAAATCAACATTAATTATTTTCATAACTCAGTTATAGAACTTAAAAATAATAATATGTTTTTTTAAACTTATCTACTCAATGATATGGGATGCACGCGCAAAGCACGTACCTAGAAACTAGTGTAATGAAATACAGCAGTGTACAATTTGCATCGTTGCATATTCTCCTTTTTCTTTGTGTTATGTTGTTTCATATTCATAATCATAAGTATACACGTCTAGACACCTCAACTCATCAGTCGTCTCCTTTGTGTCAGTTGTACACTCCAACTTACAAAATGATCATCTAAACACTTCCAAGATTTAGAGTGTCACTTTAGCATCGGGTGTTCACAAGACACAGTGGAGACAGGTTGAAGTATTTAGTTGTCAATTGAGGTGTTTAGATGTATACTCTCAAAGTCAAGTTTGAGTATCTGTATTAGAACCAGATTAAGTTATGCTTTTCAGTGAGAGAAATACAAAGAAATCATCTCACTGAGCCATAAAAAATTTCAGATACTGAACATTCAAAGATCAAAGAAATATAAGGTAGCATATATTAGTCTGAGCCAAGAAGCTGATAAATAACAAGTTTAAAAGAAAATAGAAAAGTAACCAAACTGCTTGAAAAGAGAACATTCAAAGAAGAAAGAGCTAGAAAGAAACCAGTCTATCTTGTGATATGCGCGATGAAAGAATCCAACTCTATTTGAGAAGCTCCCCCTTTCTCTGTGGACTGTCTTACAGCTTCTCCCAATTCTTCTGCTCTTTTTCTAATCAGGTTACCTTCTTCTGATGCCATCAACTTCCTCACGACATTCTCAATAGT